AGCACAGATGTCAGCAAACAGCCACAGAAACATTTTAATTAATGCACGTCTTCCTCTTTCCACACATTAAAATCTTGTAATTTTTCTGCTTAGTTCTGCTGATAAATCTATTGTGATATAAAAGACATTAAACAGGGGTATATAATGAAGTACTGATGATACACAAGTATACTCATGAATGATTCAAATAGGTAAACACAGAGAGAGACAAGCAGCGTGGGAATTAGGGTTGGAAGTTTTCTTCATTTTGTACAATCCAATACACTTTATGTTTTCATTCTAATGTTCCCACTGGTTTCTGCCCAGCAACTGCCTCCACTGAGCCAATCAAAAAACTAGTTCTTCCAAAGAGAGACTCTGTTCATGTTTCTCACAGTGAGCAGCCTTTCTTTCTTTTCCCTTTCTTCCAGAGCAGATTGTTAACTATAATGGAGAACTATTGATTACCTTCATTCTGTGGGCTGTGATTTTCAGATGAGAATGCCAAGGGGTAAGTGGGGGAAATGGGTAAAAGCCAGAGCCACAGGCCCTGGAAGGAAAGAGCCTAAAAAGCTAAGAGTGGCTACAGGGAAGTACTTACCCAGAGAAAGGGGTTTGGTGCTTGTGTATGTGCTGAGGGGACGTGGGGGGAAGGCGGGAGACAGTGCAAAAGGTAAGGACCTGCATTGGGAAATTTGGTGGGAGGGTGACAACCTGAAAGAAACTTGCCAACTGCATGTTCTTAGGAACTTACCGTGGTCAGAAAGGAACAAAGGACTCTTCTAATCTCTCCTGGTCATCTCTGGAATGTATTCTAAGAGGTTCTAAAAAAGAAATGTGCCTTAAAGCTTTATAAGTAAAGATGTTCGTTACAGATTTGTAATATAGAAACATCTGAACCAACCTCCACATGTAACATACGTATACATATATGTCAGTTGGAGGACGGATAAACAACATATTGTCCAGTCATAAAGGGATTTCCGTATAGTCATTAGGAATCATGTTTTTAACAAATACTTTTTATTTATGATTGTTAGAAAGCTGGATCCAATTTGGATATTTAAATTGCATCTGCAGTTTGCTATTGTAGATTTTACTATGATAAATAACCTTAAACATAAATCTTTATGTTAACATCTGATCATTTTTCTTTAAGAGTAATTTCTAAAAGTGGAATTTCTCGGTCAAAGGATGAAACATTTTTAAGGCATTTGGTATATACATATGGCCAAAATGCTTCCAGAAATGTTTACATTCCCGTGAAGCAAAGAATACAGTTACCATTACAGATTGTTCAAATTTTATTCTTTTATATTTTTTCTATTTTATAATTGTTTATAATTAGGAACAAAAAACAAGGAATACCATTAAAATAAGTGAAAACATTTTCCCTACTCTGAGGAAAGAAGAGAAGTTGTTACCTATGATAATAATAATAATACCGTCCTCTCTCTAGCAGCATAGGGAACAGTTTGAAGAGGAGACGATGAACTGAAAGGCAATATTTCGTCTGAGGGTGTGTCCAGGTTTCAGACAAGGGTCTGAAGGAGAACCAGCTGCACAGACTTCTGCTCCTTTTTCCTCAACAGTTCCGGGACTTGCAGGTACTGTGACTGGGGGCCTCATGCTGGTTTGTTTTGGAGGAGTTGGTATTTTCTGAACAACTAATATGTTGCAGTCACTATAATTACTTGTAATAGTTATTAATTGTTAAGTCATAGATGAGTACATTCCAAATTTAAAACGTTCAAATAATTTTCAAGGTGTGGGGTGCAAAGGACAAAAGTATCTTTTACTGAATCCCCCAATTCTCAGTTTAGCCTGTATCCTTTTAGATCTTTTAAAAGGCAATTATAAAAACATGCATATACAAATTTATACATTGGTTTTTTATACAATCATTAGGATTGTCCTGCAATGTGCTTTTTCTTCATTTGCTATGTCTTGATTACCTAGGTTAGTGACTGACTATCAACTAGTCTTAGCTGACACATTGAATTCATTCATAGAGATGAGCCAATGTTTTTTTTTTTTTTTTTTTTTT